TAAGGGGCGTATTTCAGTTTAGTTTCGTAAAGCCAAAACCTACCTGATCACAAACGCCTGTCAAAACAAAGCAATATACCACAAGGAGGCAATAAGGACTTCAGGTAAAAAACAAGCATTCTACGTCTAGTACATGAGAAAGCGAGTGCCCATGTTGCACATCTGTGTGGTTTAAGCGTGGAAGATAACTGATAATAACGAGTAAATAGGAATTGTATGCGCTCTATTTGTGGGTGAGAAATCTGGTAGAACTAGATTTAAAGAAGTGATTATCAACCTAAGTAACATTAAATTTACTCGTGCACTCGTTTCAGCTGGCATGACTTCGACGACACCAACCCTGACCAAAAGTATAGTTTTCATAACATTGCGTTCATAATTTAAGGATCAATAAGAGGTCAAGAAAAAAGACTCTATAAGTAAAGGCTTTTTCTAAGGTTCTGCCATTCAAACTGAATATAGGAAAAATTGTGAAAAGACAGACAGACAGACGGCAGAACTAATCTACGGGAGAGGAACGAAATATGAAGGAGGAGGTAGATGTACTATCCAAATTATTTAATACTAAATCGTGATTTCAACATATTTTCGTAGGGAAAGGCCAGTTCAGTCATTCCTTCGACAATGGTAATTTTCTTATGCGGTGGACATTTGACGATCAAAATAACAAGTTAACCTTTCATGTGAAAGTTAAAACCACTGGCTGGGTAGGATTTGGTTTTGCCAGGGTCGCACCAACTCAGATGAGAAATTATGACGTAGTCGTTGGCGGATATGACAACGTCGGATATTTAATGGTAAGTCTCCGAGAAATTTGTTATGAAACTTGACTTACCGGCCCCCTTACTACTAAAGCTTATCTTGGTTTCAGCTGCATGGAAAAAATTAACAGCTATTCTCATGAGAGGGAATGAATTTTTATGGCAGATAGCCGTAGCGAAGAAGTTTGAAAGTTTGCTGCCACCCATTAATACTTCCGGGACTTTGTCAGGGTACAATTTCTCACACATGAACACCACTCATTGAATTAACTAAAGCTCGAACTAAAATCTCTCGATCCGGATCTCCCCACCTCACCCCACCCCACCCCACCCCACCCCACCCCCCTTGCCATCGCAACTTAGTCCTCAGTCCCCGGATGCCTGGCGAGTCAGAATTACTCAGCTGTGTTTTTATATGCTTTATCATGGCTAATTTACTGGAACGATTGCCGCGTGTAACTGACTGCTGTACTGCGTTTCCTTGCACCATATTTTAACACAGAGGTACCCTCTCCACGTACCCTGCACAGAAAAAATTCAACTGTTATACCTACCAGCAGTAAAACACCACATTCCTAAATCTTCTTGTAATGAAAAGTTTAGACGAGAAAAAAACCAATTGGACAAAAGATCTCCAGTATGAAAGATCATGATCAGGCAAAAGTGATCACAATATTATTTATAAAAAAAGTCAGCGGTAAGGGCGCCAGTACCAGTACCATAAGATTTATCGAGAAAAACCAAGAGTCTTACAAAAATGTAAATATTGCATAACGATAACAAAATCTTACTTTTGTGTTGTGGTAGTGTAGGAACAGGGCCACGTGGAAAGGATCAGATACAAGTAAAAGGGAAATTATTCTTACTATGCATATTTCATGAACTGTAATCTATAAGACAACGGGTGCTGATGGGAAACCAACCGTCCTCTTTATGCCATCTTTATTACCGATTTCTTTTACACTAATTTTCCTCATTCTCTATAATCAGGACTATTACACTCAAGGACGAGCTCAACCCCAACCTGAAAGCAAAAACGACTATACGTTATTGTCTGCATCAGAAGTAGCTGGATACACTGAGCTAATGTTTGAGAGACTAACTGATACGAATGATGACCAAGATATACAGTTCGTGGTAAGTGTTTGTATTCACTTATCCTAAAAGCCCCCTCTTCACTAATCTCGCAACCAGATCCTACCGTATAACTGTAATTGAAATGTAGGGACCTTACAACCGCTTAGCCGTGGAGGGTCTGGGTACGAGACTTCCCCTTCCTCCCTCCCTCCCTCCACACAGTAAGCCCTGTGTCTGCGCGGCTAATTGCTCTGAGGCGTTGGGAAAAAAAAAGTTGAGTTTTCCGTTTTGTTTTCATTCAAGACTAGGAAACAACTTTCAGCTAAAGAAACAAAATAAACTGGTTAAGGAGCCAGAGCCTGCTTCTGTATTCTTTAAATTTTGTTTATAAGATATGGCTTTGGGCCCGTTTATTTACCGCGACTTTCGAGAAACGGGCTCCAGTCTCAAAAAAATGAGCTGGTGTAGAAATTGGTGTGATTTGGTATGGAATAGGATTAGGATAAAATAGGTTTTTTGGGATCATTTCTGGTTATCTGTTTATTGTTTAATCTGTCAATATTTTCTCTTTTAATCACAGCCTGGTGGTGCGGTACATATCATTTGGGCCTATGGCACTGAGGATGTCACAAGCGCTGACAGCTTTAATGTCCATTCTTCAAAAGGCTACTCTTCGTACCAACTTGTCATCATTCCGACAGCCCCAATCCCTACTCAGCCGGGAGCTGCCTCTTCATTGCATTCCTTCATTTATGTGATTGTTTCTTTAGCAGCAATATTGTTCAATGTTGTAACAATATAATCCAGAGAACTGGAAGAAAAAAGTCCATTTTAGACCGCAGTTCTTCGTAATTAGCATGAAGCTGCTTGAAATCCAAGTCTTTTCAGAGTGGTTTTAGTGTTGATCAGCACGATTTGCAGTTTAAGATTGAAGAACTCCTTTTTTTTAACTAAGCGAACTGCATGAAACCATTGAAACATTTTGATAAACATTTTGGCGTAAAACATAAGACTCAAAATTAGGAGTCCTTAGAGATAAGATTTCATAATAGTAGCGAAAGTCCGACAAGCTTTCAATGGGAAAAAGCTTCTTCGGATTTCTAAACATTGTTTTAAGGCAACGGCATGTTTCCGTTTTATAATAAAAAAAAAAAATTGTTTCAAAACTAATTTGGACCAAGTTGTCATATTTAAAAAGGAAGCCATTCATAGCTGTGTGAGGGGGAGAAACAGTTTTCAAAATCGCAATTATTTGACCCGTCATGATCCTCTGAAGAAATGGCTACAAAAAGGATTTGGAAATAATGGGATAAGAACAGGTTAAGTCAAGGGAAGAAAAAAATTAAACTTAGCTTTGAGCTTCTCTGTTTGGTAATGTAATTTTCGAGATGCCATACACTTCCTTTTCACATAGTTTAGAGAACCTTGATTTATGTGAGAGGTACCACTATCTGGTTGAAAAATTAAATCATCTATTTGTTGACTTTAGTTATCCCTGACGGGAATTTATACAACTTAGACGAAGTATCAACCTAGTGATCCCCGGCAAAGAAGATCGTCGGTTACTAAACACAGGAGCTAGACTTCCTTTACTCGCGTCTCTCAGACTTGATTGACCGTGTATGCACGAGGCAAGCGCCACGAGAGCATGCCATGCCAGTCACGTTTTCCCACGCTCGCCTCGTGCCTGCCTCCGCTCGCCTGTTGAACGCAGAAAAGCTTAGACGTCTGTTCTGCAAGTTATTTGAAAGGAAGTAGCCTCACGTGCCACCTTAGGGAGTATCATGAGAAAAACAACGAAAAGAGCCGATGGTTACATGGGAATGCAAACTATAGGGAGATTTTTTAACGATCAGCATGGGTATTAGATCTCTCATAGCTTAAAAGTACTTTCATTAGAGAGAACGAGGGTGGTAGGTGCTTCATTCATACTTCAGAGAGCTCGTTCGATTTTTTCCTATAAAATTTGATAAGAGCGTGATTTTAATATGGCTGGTAAGCTTTTTTCCTAGGAAATTTGATAAGAGCGTGATTTTAATATGGCTGGTAAGCCTGCGATTTGCTTGAAAATACTCTGCAGTTCTTTTATCCTCGTGGATGGAGGTTTGCATTGCGTGAGAGAAATGTATTGCCGGAGAAAAATCACAATGGTTCTAGTAAAAGTAATTTCGGGACCTAGATCGTTGGTAGCTAAGGTGAGTGTGTTAAGGGCTTAAGTTTATAATTACATTACAATATAACTTGAATTTAACAACTGGGTGGATAATGTAAATAATTTGCCACTGCGTGTCGCTCCGACGAAGGGATAAAGCTCGAAACGTCAGCTTTAGAGACTATTTCGGTGGCCGGCCACTTTACATTATCAACTCAACTGATAAAACCAAATCACTTTTAAAATGTGGTAATCCTTTCAGCCTTCCTGAAACCATTTTTGAAAGTTAATAGAAAGTTAAAATTATTTTTTTACATCACAGCTGGATACATCTCGCTAATTTAAACATTTAGTTATAATTATAGGCTTTTATCATAACATCAGCTTAGTATTGAAACTTATCAATTTATCCGCCAATCAAGAATCTTAAACTTAAAACCTAATTTTGAAATTTCAGATTTAAATTATGTCGAAACTGCCCATGATAGGACCTATTCAGTAAAATCTGTTAGTTACCCCACTGCTTAAAGAATATCAATAATAAAAACATTTATCACATCGAAATTCAATTACGATTTGTCAACATTTTAAGGCTGGATAACAGTTCGATTGGGGTAGCAAATTTCGCTCTCCATTTCGACTTTAATGCATCAAGAAAGAAAGAAAATAGATCATAAATCCAGTTTTAGGACCTGCTCCAGGCTTATTTCTATCCAATTTTTTTTATTTTGCTTCTTTTTCTTAGCTTGGTCAAAGCCACGAGATCCAACTGGATTTTAAACACCCTGCGGTGTTATTATGGCAACTTACTTGTCTAGCCAATCACAACACGTTTCACCTTTCCACGACATTGTCTCACCTGCTGGACGACCAGCTTACACCTGTTAATTGGTTAGTTAGTATAAAAACAGAGTAAAAAAAAATTAGCGCACAGTGATTATTTCGCTGCGTCTTGACAAGCAACAAAGCCAATGAGACACTTGGTTGATGATATCGAAAGTTTCAAAAGTATGGCAGAGGCCACAGGGCCGTTGAATATCTCCCTAGAGGAGTCGGTACCATTTGTTACTATTCTTACAATTACTGGAGTGACATCCATCGCGGCTAATTTGCTAATCGTCGGAATAACTTGCAAGAATTCTCAAAGGAGAAAGGTGCATGACTTGTTCACCTTGCATAGCAGTTTAGTGGATTTGCTAACCGCATCAGTGGTGGTACCATTCTGGATTTTGTCCACCATCCACAGTAGAACAAATTTCGTGGGTGATATCTATTGTAAAGTCAGCGCTACCTTAGGCCTAGTGGAACTCTTGGCTCCTGCTATGTTCCTGATGCTGGTTGCCACCAGCAGGCATTGTTCAGTTATCGACAAGATGGCTTTCCCCAGAATATTCAGCGATTTTAGGTCAAATCTGATGGCTGTGATTGTATGGTTGTTTTCATTTTTTGATCAGTATTCCTCCCCATATTGCATGGTCAGCTTCTCCGGAGATCCACTGTCTCCCAGATTTGGTGACTAATTCTTGGTATACCACTTCAGTTCTATCATTTTGCTTCCTATTGCCGCTCAGCGCAGCGTTCTACACACACACATTTATGACATTTTCATCTTTCAACCGGAGCGAATGAAGCGAGATGACTCAATGAGGAGACGTTGCGAGATTTATGGGCTGCGAGGAAGTGAGCGAACCACTCAGAAAGTGTTATTTTGTGATTCTTATCATTCACACATGCTGTTGGGCGCCCTACTTATGCGTGGCATTGACCCAGGCGATGAATGGTGGTAAAATATATTACACAGGAAAATTTCCAATCCATTTTGTCGCCTTGGTGGTGGCATTGACGGGTACCGCGCTTAAGGGAGTTGTCTCGTGCTTTGAGTTACCTGATTTGAAAGAATCGATCAAGAAACAGTTTGGATGTGTGGAGCAGGAGGAAAGTGAGGGGAATACGACCAGAACATTCGAAGTTTAAGCAAAGATGTACAAACTTCCGAAAAGCATTTTGTGGGAGGGGTAGGTGAATCCTTGAGGGCTTGCGTTGGCTTAACGGCTCAGAAAATTAGATTGTAATCACGTGTAAACAACAACAACTTTAGTCTAGATGAACTTTAGGAGTAGTTTTAAAGCTACATCATCAAAAATTTATAAAGATTGGCCAAAAAGGCCGTTGAATGCCTGTGTCTTAACAATGCACCAAATTACGGTGTATCTGGTTTTTACGCATATAACCTTACCTTTAACAGAACAGTACACCCACATATCGAATGCATTTACTGAGGCTCTAGAGGGTTTTAGTATTTTTGTTTAGTGGTCAGAAGCTTAAATCGGTCTCACAGTTGAAATATAAACATCCGCGGACAGGTATACCGCTAATAGCCAAACAAACCTTGTAATTTCTCATTTTTGCTTAGCCGAAAAACTAAAAAGCTGTATTACTGTAGATATGCTATATAAGAAATTTTTCTTATTTGAAAGTATAATTTTGTAATATCACTGCGATAAATGGACAGCTATTAAAAAAAGTTGGCTCAAATTATAGTATAAGTTTGCCAAATTAGTGTTTGCTAAGATGTCTGTTTACTCGTTAAAGCTGCCAAACCAAGACGATTTACATACATATTTATGCGTAAGAATCAAGCGATTCGTGAATTGGTTCAGTGGAGGTGTGGTTAACTTTGTTATTCCCGCCCTTCAGCTTAAAAAAAGACAATTAAAGCTCCTGAAATCAAAGGGGATTTTCCGCACGAAAAGTGCCGAATTCGTCTGTTTTTTAAACATAGATTGTATGGGAGACATCCCTAAATGTTGTTATTATTTCAACTAACAGCGCTACACCAAAATCACCTGCCGCATTGAAATAGAATGGGAAAAGATCGAATTTAACGATTACTTTAAGAAGATGATGCCCACAACTGGAGTTCTTTTTATGCATTTTTCATATTCTACTAAACACAACGGCTTCTTGTTTCATTGCGCTGTCTTTCGACTATGAAATGCAACATTGCTCAGTGAAACTGACTTTGTCATGGTGTGAAGACAAAAAAAGTAAACTTGACAGCAGAAATAGTCTCATATCTTTACAATTTTGCACAGGCTTGAACATGAGATGTAACAAAACAGTGTTTATGAACAATTGTTAAAGAGCGTGGTATACCGTTAAATTTGTTTATGTCGTTATTCTTGCAGCTCAGCCGGCGGTCCACCCCAGGAGTAAAGCGAACATATCCGAAATCAACGGGGTACCACTTCGCTTTCTATGCTGACATGTACTTCTCGCCAAATTCTCGCGTAATTTCCACATACGCAAAATTTTCTATCAGGTAATATGTGAACTTGGCAAAATAAATAACGTAAGGTAAATATTTATTCGGCAAGCAAATTGGGAAGTATTCAATAAAATTATTTTATTTGTGAATTGCACTCACTGCTCTTGTGTTTACTCATCATGAATATATATTAATTTATTATGTTTTCGCATATATATGTTATTGTTTTTAGGTTTTCGTAAACGTGAATCGAATCAGACAAAAAAATAACCTGTGGCTGCGTTTCGTTTCGTTTGAAAGGTTCACTGATGGAAAACGTTATCGGTGTAATCGCTGATATGATTTAAATGGCCTCCTAATTTTCGCCTTGTTAAACCTCGAATAAACCTGTGTTATAATGCAAATTTACTCAACCAATGAATGATAAGCACGGCCAGTTAGTAAAAAGCATCAACAAGCTTGCAATTGGTTAACTTGCTGCATTCGCATTCATTCCACACACCTTATATCTGCTTACAACCGGGGCCTGTACTGTTTCATTGAATTTATGGTCAGAACCAAAATGATTTGAGTTTTTATGACTTTCTAACCATCCATTGTGAAATAACAATCCAATCAAGGTTCAACTCCTTTTGAAACATCAAAGTTAACAAGATTTCCGCGCAGCCCCATGCTTCATCACAGCTCTTGGATAAAGAAAACACCGGCGGAAACAATTCATTGCCTTTAGGACTGCGGCTTTGTTTTTGAATAAATAAAGGAGATAAGTTTCTAAATAAATTGTGGTGCTGCGTCAGTGGGAGAGTATAACAGGGTAATTAAGTGTTATCAACTGATTTGCCAACGTAAATTGGCCACCGTAAAAAGTTCAAAGGCTGACTTTTGGAGCGCTTAGCCCTTCGTCAGAGCTATGACAGGAAAAGAAATAACTATACAGGGCTTTTGCATGTCTTGTAATTGGAATGAGTAGAACCTATCATTTGTTTTTGAATAGTATGGTGCAGAAATCTATCTGAAATTTATTTATCCGAGTTTGGCCGTGCCACCTAATGAAAAAATCGTTCTCAGTCATTTTCAGTTTCATTCTGATTTCAGATCACATCCTTCTCAAAACAGACTTCCTGCCCTCGACCAAAATTCTCATTGACATAGTCATCGACCACAAAAAGCTGGATATCTGCATCATTAAAACCACCAAACAAATTTATATACAAATAGATTGAACTACGCTTAATCACCCACAGAGGAAAAAAGAAAACAAATAAAAAAAATAACTCCCACGTATTCCATCTTATCCTTGACAACTTCAAATTTGTGTTTGCGAAGCAAACTGCGTTGAAAGCTTTGGCAGTTGAGCACCTAACCCTGTTAAAAAAAAAAAACCCTTTAAATATATACCGCTCTGAGTCGTTTCTCAAAAGTTCGGTTTTTCTGTAGCGGTGTGATGACTTTTTTCCTTTTTTCGAACATTTAAATGAGCGGTTTTTGTGACGTTGATTGCTTAAGATTTGAAAAAAGGGGGTAAGTTTCAAGAGAAACTATAATGGTGCGTCGGTGGAAGAGTACTAAATTACCCTGCTCAGGAACTGATTACGCTCATGAGAGGATCAAAGGAACTCGGAGCAGCCAAATTCTTCGGGTTTTTCCACCGTTGGATAATAATCTATCCAATTAATTTCCAATTAATCTCATTTTTTTAGGATTTCCAACCCTTGCCTCTAGTCAAAAATCCGAGATTTGGACTGGGCTCGAATGCTAGGTCACTAAGTCTTCGCCCTGAAAATCATAGCCGTCCACCCCACCATAACTCCTTCCTCTTAGAATTACACATGGCGCCTAAGGAGAAGGGTAAGAACATTGATCTAAAGTATGCGATTTTTTTACAATATAGCATTAACTTTTTCGACTTCTGAGCCGCGAATAGTAACATGAATAAATAAAGACGACAATTTGGTAGTGAGCGATTATCCTGTTGAAAAACTGTGCTAGAAATGGGATTTGTTGTTCGATGTTGCATTCCACGTGTGGCTAATAAATGTTCAGATTTTCCTTCGAGTTTAAACCATTTTAGCTTCGATCATTGTGTATTTCATGCACAGTGGAGGCTTCTTAGATGAGGGACGTGGCAACCATTTGAGGCCAGTCCGGAGGGTTTTAACGAATCAGCAGACATACTATCACAACCAACTTCTTGTCTGTACCTTCATTTATCAACATTAGTCCTCAGTTAGCTTTGTAGAAAAATTGTACATAACCGTGAATTACTCCCGAATAACGTTTTTTAATAAATAAATCATGAACTTCAAATGTGGCTCTGCCAAGCATATGCCTTCCTTATACCTTTGTATTAAAGTAGAGGTGAATGCAAAGCCTTTGCTATGAAGATGATTTTTCTTACGCACAGATATAACTCATTTTCGTGAGAAGGTTTTGCACCTGGTCTCATTTGAATAGTAAGGGGTTTTGGATTTGGAAATGGTATATCTTTCTTATAGACTTTGACTGCGTTTGGCAGCTGGTTGCTCCTCAGCCTGTTTGAACTTGTCACTACTGATATTTTGTGCTCTGTTTGATTTTACTGTCCTCAAAGAAGCCCTCCGGGGGGAGTTGTTATTTTGGTTCTTTTATGGAATGTTAATTGAAAGGGGAGACAATTTTTGGAAAAAAATGTCATTCAGACTGGCTGATTAACTCCATGTTTCAAAAAGTCTTGCTGAATTTTTGTTTTTGTTGTGGTTTCAGGAAAGTCAAAATCTGGTGCCTCTGCCAAGTCCAGTGAGACATCTAAGGCCCAGAAGGCCAAGAAGTCTGTACTGAAAGGTGTTCAAAGAACACAGAAAAGGAAGGTGCGCACAAATGTCCACTTCTACCGTCCCAAAACCCTTCGCTTGCAAAGAACTCCCAAATACCCAAGGCACTCTGCTCCAAGGACCAACAAACTTGATCACTTTGCCATCATCAAGCATCCTTTGACCACAGAGTCAGCCATGAAGAAGATTGAAGACAACAACACACTTGTGTTCATTGTCGATGTGAGAGCTAACAAGCCCCAGATCAAGGCATCAGTGAAAAAGCTGTACGACATTGAGGCTTCCAAAGTCAACACTTTGATCAGGTACATGTTAATTTTTTTGTTGATATATCATATGAAGAGTATCTATTTCTTCTAACACCCATAAACTCCCTTGAGTGACCAAGACAGAATTTCTCCCTACAATATCAATACAATATCAAACAGACAAACAAGGAAAATAAAGAAAAATGTCAATTAGGGTTTATTACTTGATCCAATACTAAATTCTCCAAACTAACATTATAAGAATGGTATAGCAGATAGTAAGGAGAATTGCTAATGGGATCTTGGGAGGAAAAGGGTTAATTGCCAATTTTTCAGTTATGTTGATTGATGAAATCTAAAATTCTTTCCAAATATTTCTAGATCTCTATGATACTGTTTTATAACATGTTTAACTTGCTCCTTCATAGGGTGCTCAGTTCAAAGACAGTTGTCACTTAACCCTTAAACTCCCAGATCAAATTTGTAATTCTTGTTACCATCAACCATACAATTCTTATAATGTTAGTTCAGAGAATTTAGTATTGGATCAACTAATTATCCCTGAATTGATATTTTTCTTTATTCTCATTACTTATCTGGTTGATATTGTATTGATATTGTAGCAAGAAATTCTGTCTTGATCACTCATGGGAGTTAAAGGGTTAACAAAAAGGATAAAGCAGGCTATGAATTGGCTTGTAACACAGTTCTTGATTTAAATTCTTACAGCTTAAGTCTATTTTTGTTGTTGGAACATTGTTCTATCGTGTAGATCTGATTGTTAATGGAATTTTTACGGGGACAATGGAATCTTGATTTGCTGCCCCAAGAACATTTTCAGGAGCTAAATAACAAAATTATTGCCACCTCCATTGTGTGTATTTCTACGTAGTTACATTGTTAAAGGTTGAATTTATTTTTGTTTAAAATTTTTAAATCCAGCGTGATTCTTTTGCTCGTTTTGTTTCAGATTATAACCATATAAAATGTGCAAAATGAAAATTAAACTTGTGTGGAAAATGTTGAACTATGAATTGATATGCACCTTTACCCTTTCCACCACACACTTACCCATACATTTCCCTTGGTACTGACAAGGAGAATATGGTAAACAAACAAACAATCAAAATTTCTTGGGATTCACTCCCTTTATTTTCATGATCGTAATGAATGGTTAGGCTGTATTATTGAAGGTAGTAATTTGATGTTGGTCACTCTTAGAGTTTAAAGGTTTAACAGAAAGCAAACATGTATGGAGATTTGCTATCAATCAAACTATTTTTGTATTCAGGGAATAAATTCCTAAAGAAACTGTGTGTGTTGGTTGGAGAGTATAACAGGGTAATTTGGTGTCATCAACTGAGTTGATATATTAATTGGCCACAGTAAAGGGTTTCAAAACTGATGTTTCGAGCTTTAGCCTTTTGCCAGAGCTGTGACAAAGGGCTATCACTCAAAATGTCAGATTTGAAACTCTTTACGGTGGCTAATTTCCATAATCAGTGCAGTTTACAATACCAAAATACCCTATTTTTGTATTCTTAATCTATTGCTCTATGGAAATTTATGCATGTGTAGTCTAAATTGATTATTACATTCTCTAGACCTGATGGGCAGAAGAAAGCATATGTTAGACTGGCTCCAGATTATGATGCTTTGGATGTGGCCAACAAGGTATGTGAAAAAGAATGAATCATATAATTACTTTTGAAAAGATTCTATGATTGCTGAAGAATTTTTCCCAATTCTGAGGTTTTGTAATGTCATTTTATTATTGTTTTGCAGATTGGGATCATCTAAGCTTGTTAAGAAGACAAACAATAAAATGTGATTGTTATTTAAACTCAAGTGTGTTTTCTGTGTTTTGCTATATCTTGCCTTTTGCTTTGTGAATTTTGTTTTTGTTTGTTTTCTTTCAAAATGATAGATTTTCTTACAAAGAGAGTTGTAGTAGCTTCAAATTTATCTTTTTGTATCAGAAGTTTCTGTTCACCTTGACCAGCAATCATGAAATGCCTTCATGCTGAAAACTGGTCTGTTATGTACTCAAAACTTAAAAAACATCATGGCACTGATCATATTTTTGTCATACTTGCAAATTATTTTGTCTCATTTTTCTGTCACTTGCCTCTTCTCATACAGACACTAATTGGCATTTGGAAATCAGTGACAGGAGTTTCAAATTTTCCATAAGCAGCTGCCAATGATGCAATAGGTGGCTGTGCTGGCAAAAGGGGCATAAAGCAAAACCCAAACAGGAGATTGTGTGTGGGGGGTAAATTGAAGGCAGTAAGGGGTCTTAAAGGCAGGAGTAACCAGCATTTAACCCTTAACTCTTGAGATCTGATTGTTAATCCTCCCCTCTAGCTGCTACACATTTCCTTGTAACTTAGTCACAAGAATTTGGTGTTAGATCAAGATAACAACTTCTACCTAATAAATTTGAGTATTCTCATTATGTGCTTGCTGGATAATGTGAGGATATTTTAGGGAGAAGTTACTTGTGAATCGTCTCTGTGAGTTAAAGAGTTAGTGAAACCTGTGCAATGACCAAGCATTGTTGTAAACCAGAAAAATTCCTCTTGGACCATTTTTGCTTTAAGATAGCATTCATAGCTCCTAGCTGTTTTGATACAGTAAGGAGAAATTATGTCTTGGTCACTTCTGGGAGTTAAACATCAGAGCCCATTTTCAACTGGGGGAGCTTGAAAAAAAGCCATATCTTAAGGGAGTCTGGGGGCCATCCCTCCACAGGGATTTTTTAAATGGTATTTTCAACAACAGCTACTTCACCTGCAGAGTTAGTCATGTAACAGATTTCTGCCTGTTATGGTGATGAATAAAGTCAAAGCTTGGAAGACTGCATCAGATACCATTCCGTGCTGTCTGGAGTTAAACACCTGCCTTTAAAGCCAAATTCTAGTGGGTAGATTACTGAGGAAACTTTGGGGTATTTGTTGTGCTTACACATTTCTAGGGTTCCCATACATGGAAAACCTAACAATTTGCAACATTCAGGTCTTACAAAATCAAGGAAAATTAAATTTTGAGAGAAAAATTTGAGAAAAATGCCTACATAGCATGATTTTTTCCCCCATCATTTTAGAAGCATCTTGATTGTGGGTCACAGAAATTAATAAATACTGAATTTCTTTGGACAAGCCCTTAGGTGCTTATTTAAAATTTTGGCTAAAAATAGAGGGTGCCGATGCAAGGGGGGGGGGGTCATTATTATTATTATCAGTTATCAGTGATTATTAGAACAATTTTAATAAAGTGACAATAGAAACAGGTTTTCCTTGTATATCTACTCTCTAAGAAAGTGAGGGAGGAGGGGGGGAGGCACCTATTCGTGATGGGTGTTTGTTCAACATGGTGGCTGATGGGGTGGATGCCTATCTGGGCACTTATTTGAGGAAATAAAGCAGGTCCTGAAAATGGTCATGGAAATTTATGAGTTTGAAAGATTGCCAACCCTTTCTTTCATAATGAATTCTCTGTCTATTTAACAAATGTAGGGTATTTTATTGCATTAATTTTATGAATTTTAGAATCCTGCCTACAACCCATTTGGTGTGTCAGGATCAGTTGATGATGGTACAGTGTTAGAGTAAAATGGTCTCATGGTAAGAAACATAACCTATTCAGTTACTAAGAGCCTGACACCTGGAACTGGCTTCAGTATACAGTTAAAATTAAAGTTCTAGAGTTTGTTTCTGAAAACCATTTTATTACCTTGAAATATCAAAGGCCTAATTTTAGGCCACAGCTTACATTTGAACATAAGTTGTTTGGTAAGTATTACAGTAATAGCTACTTTTTTGTCCTACTTGCTCATAAAATATTACAATCTGGTATTACACAATACAAGAACAACTAAATACTCTTTGAAACATGTAGCATATGGCCTTAAAATCTTTCTATATTACAGTCACAATGACAGGTTCATGGTTTAGCTTTTTCCTCACTTAAAAAAAAAAATGAATCTTAAAGAAAAAGTCCATTAAAACTTATCTTGCCTTTAAACCTGCACTATGTTGCCTCTGCTAAATGAAGAACACAGGTGCACACAATTTTGCATCACCAGCAAGCTGCAATCACAGAAGCTAAAACTGCATTGTGCAAATTACATGTAGCCTGTAAGACTGTTACCTGCATAAAACCAGTCAAATGAAGAAAGGCTGATTTTTGAGAACCACAACAAAGTAAAACTACCAAAACTAGCTACCTGTAACAATACAGAACCATATACAGAAAGGAAGCTTTATTTCTCTTTCTCGTTTTACCTAGGCATTGTAACAGATGAAATTGATCTGGGGACATCTTATGAAAAATGCATATCTCAGTTTCCCATAACAATAATGTCAAAGCTTAGATGCATTTCCATGGTCCTTAGCATACGCCAAGTTGCATTCCAAGAGGGTCACACTGGAACTATGTTATGTCATTCACCCCACACTGAAACTACTATAATCTGTTTTTAGAAGCAACTCTTTTGTGCAAAGAAAATTAACACAAACTTGGACAGTAATCTGAAAAAGGACAAGATCTTTACAAAGATGTGGCCACCACGACATAAATTCCAAGTTTAGACCTGCATAAAATACAGCATGGTGTACACCGGTATTTAGCTCCTCACACTTAGTACTGTTAAAAATTTGTAAGTTCTCTGATGAATATAAACAACATGCAACAACAGAATTCCAATTTTTTCTTTTTTTAAAACAAAACTGACTTTCTTATAATCCATATCTGATTTCCGTTCAAAACTTACAGAACCAGTATTAGAAGCCACGCTTCTCCCTTGCTCACGAATTACCAAAACAATCTTAGAGTCAGAAGTCAGAAGTTCTAGTCCATACTCTCCATAGCGTCTATTTCATTCAACAGTTTCAGCTTCTTTGAATTCCAGAACTCTATGTCCGTGGTCAGTTCGTCAATTAAGCGCAATTTTGTGCTTTCCAATCTCTCAGTCTCTTCGCATTTCTCTATCTGAACTTTCAGCTCTTCTTCCAAAATTTGAATTTTTTGCTGGCTGTCGGTTTCTCTCTCACTAGCAAGCACATCTTCTTGTTCAAGTTTGCGAAGATTTTCTCCAGCAGTACGGATCATGTGTTCCAATTCCTCGACTCGTTTCACTGCCGTATCCTTGCGAATTTCCGAGCGAGACAGTTCGTTTTCGATAACAGTTAGCTTTCTCTGGGCTTCGTTCAACCTCATATGAGCGGTCTCGGCGGCGGACTGGGCTTCTTGCACCTGGTGTTCAAGTTCTCGGAGCTGTTCATCAGTTTCTACTTCGGCATAAGTTAGTTCCCTTCCCTTGACAGCCTCCGCATCTGCTTTATCATTCAGCTCTTTCAATCTACTTTCCTTTTCGTCTGTCTCGGCCTGCGCGTCTTCGAGTTTCTTTCGCAGAAACTGAATGCGTCTATGATATCCCGCCGCTTCGTCCTCCTTGCTAGCAATCTCTTGAATCTTTGTTTTCAGCTCCGAACATGCATCATGCTCTCTTTCAACAGCTTCTTCTGTCTTTGCCTTAATGGCAATCATTTTGTTTTTTACGTCTTCAAAGAGGGTCGACATTGTTATAGCTAAGTTTATCGCTATGCCTCACAGTTTTTCATTCAATGTAACTCGAAAACACACCCTATCGAAGGGAGTAAATGCTCAAGAGAGCATGACTGCGCGTAATAACCACTGACAGGTTTGCGGCTTCATTCTGCCCAGTCCGTTTCACCATCTCAACACAAACAGGCAAAGTTCGATACGATTCCTTAGCATTACTTAAAATGTTTTTAGTTTAGCGCAATCTCGATTAGCTTACGTTTAATTTGCAAAAACTGAACTGATTAGATAGTTCAACAAATTCCTGAGAGCACGACGCAGGCAGAAGTCTGGTACCAACTTGGCAATATACAAATCTGATTGGCTTATCCTGTATAGGAAGCAAAATTCGAATAGGTCATCGATTTCAAGATTGTTAACTTGTTATGATTTTCCACGATCGACTCTTCTAAACACTGTTCTAAATGGGAAGGAAGAGAAAACTTGGGCAATCTAAGCAAAACTGGGGCTCTGCAAATTCACGGAAACAGAGAAAGAAGAGAAAACTCGCGGAAAAGGATTTAAACAAGCAAAAGTTTCAAATGAAGTCGATTCGTTGCATATCGAGCCATCGACCTCGACGACCTGCAAATTGTCCTTAACTGCTATTCATGAGAGATCAGAGTCTTCTTGCTGTGCAATCTCTTGTGCTGCGGCTGATGAAAGTATGCAGAGATTGAGGCTCTGGAAAATAGGTGTCATCTTATCTCGCCTGAAAAACTTGGCCTCTTTTTGTCAGCATTTTACCGTAGACTGGTGTTTCAGGTCCATCAGAAGTGTGTACCTTATTTTAAACTGGCTTAAACAAACGTTTGGTTGTGGAATACAAACACTAGGAAAGGTTAGTTGTTTATTTGTTTTGTTTTATATCAAAAGTGATTCCCTATTGCCTTCATAATTCTACCTAATTCTACGATCTTCCAAATTGCTTATCAAATTGTAAACCAAGAATGTACGCTGGTAATTCTACCATAATTCTACCATAATAAGTACGATGGTAATTCTACCATAATTCTACGATCTTCCAAATTGCTTATCAAATTGTAAACCAAGAATGTACGCTGACGACACGCACCTTACATATGCGGGCAGTAATCTGGAGAATGTTCAGTTTTGTCTAAATGAAGACCTAGCAAACGTCTTCAACTGGCTACAAACAAACAAACTTACATTGAACATGACCAAAACCGAATTCATGCTAATAGGGTCGAGGCAGAGACTGAATACTCTCACAGCTTCACCAACAATTACAATGAACAATACTCAAGTGAGCCAGGTTACAGGTGTAATAATAGACGATAAACTCGATTGGCATAGTCACATCGAAAAATTAACCAAAAAAGGCGCCTCTGGTATCGGGGCCCTTAAGCGAATTAGGCACCTGATCCCAGCATCAACCTTACATCTCGTTTACCAGGCCTTAGTAAAACCTCACTTTGATTACTATGACATTGTTTGGGGTAACTGTGGGAAAACGCTACGAGACAAACTGCAGAAATTGCAGAATAGAGTAGCCCGTGTATTGAGATTCTCTAACTATGATGCTGATGCAACTGAGCTACTCGAGTTTTTAAGGTGGAAAAATCTTGCACGCCAGCAGGAAATTCACATAGCCACCATGATGTTTAGATGTCTGCACGGGCTAGCTCCAGAGTATCTGTGCTTATGACCTTAGGGACTCTGAAAATAAGTTCAATGTTCCATTACCGCGCACTTATTATTACCGAAAAAGCTTCAGCTACAATGGCGCCACATTATGGAACAGTCTACCATGCGATATAAGGAACACAGAGTCTCTGGGGGTATTTAAACGTAAGATCAATGACATTCTTTAAGTCTAACGCACGGCGCTCTCGGAAAACAGCTTTTAGCGTTATAGTATATAGTTCGAGTTTTAAATATTCTAGCGTATGTGATATGTATTTTTTTAGGCTGATGAATTGACCGTGTTTAAATAAAAATGAAATGAAATGAAATGACCTATTTCACTGCACTGGTATGGCATGAGGTCATGGGTTCATATCCCGAACAGGCCTGTGAAATACTGCAAATTCCTGTACTAAGCATTTGTCCTAAACTTAACTTTAAGAATATAAACAGATATAGAGAATAATGGCTCAAGGACTTTCAAGGTGGCACTTATTATGACATAAATCATTAATCAAATATGATATTTATCATTCTTGTTCTTAAAATAAGGTTCTGCTAGGAGACAAAGGCCATCCAGTTTTGTTAGAAAGGAAAACCCACCTTGATGAAATGGTGAAAAGAATGAATGCCTTGGAGGAGGAAGTCGATCAACTGAAATCAGAACTTGCCAAGGTACATGTTCTAATTAAAAAAAAAAAAAAAAAAAACTTTCCTTTGTTACTCTCAAGGCAGATGGCAAATGTGTCATACCCTTGGGCCCAGTTGTATAAAGGGTGGATAACTCTATCCAACAGATAAATTGATATCCAGCAGAGAAGTGATAACAAAACGCGCTGTGTTATCCACCAAATAGATTTATCCAATGGATATTGCTATCCAAGCTTTGAACAACCAGGGTCTGGTCATTAGTTTGCTGAAATGTGTATTGGGTGGTCAGAATGGGTTGATTCTCTCAGGGTTAATTTACCATAAATTACAATACAAACTGAAAAATGAAATGCTATTACATGAAATTATATGAGATGATGTTCATGAAAATAAAAAGTACTGCCGCTCCATGACTTCATGTACTTGTAAAACAGAGTGTAATTTACAAAAGAGAATGTGTAGGGAGAATAACAATTTACAATCCTCAATCTTCCCTTGCTACTGCAATTCTGAAAATCATATTAATACAAAAATATTTTGATATTTATCATACAATGTAACCTGGATTGCAGCATTTTGATTGATTGATGGCTTCATCATTGACAAGGTTTTGTTTCATCAGTATGCAAAACAAAAAGATCCCATGTTTCCATGTGTCCATTGACTAATAAATCACAGAAGATGTCTAAAGGATTAAAGAATATCAAATGCCAATCTTTTGTTCTTACCACATTTTGAAATGATCTGTGATCTACTGAACAGATATACTCCATGCGACATGGATCTATTTGTTAACTGGTGATCACTAGTAACCAAACAGATACTCTTTGCCTATAAGTAATGTATACTTTGTTCTTTTCAGAAGTCAACTTGTCCATGTGGGGATCACTGCAACAGATATGTACCAAGAATTGAATGTGCACCAAACGGTCTTCCTCCACCTCCTCCCCCACCCCCTCCCCCACCTCCCCCTGTTCAACCTCCACCAGCTCCCCCCTTAGCTTTTCTCAAGAATAAACAGGTACAGTATAATGAAAGAAGAAACAAGCAATCAACTTACATGTGTGACTTTGGCCAATGATAACTTACTCACCCATACCTGTAGGGCCTGACGTACAGCAGGTGGTTTATGAACAGTGGATTATTTATTTGTTTATTATGCCCATTTCTTCCTTGGTGTGTAATTTTTCACAATTTTTAAGTAACAGAATTAAGGTCTGTGCTCAGGCTAAGTGGTCCACTAAGGCAGAGCTTGTCCCAGTTTCCTTAGCATGAAGCAATT